TATCGAGGAAACAATCTAACGTTAAAACTTATTGAGTGATTAATTTAATTTCATAATATATCGCTTTAGCGAGCCACCGTTTGCTTGCCAATTGTTTATCACAAAGAGTCGGCCTACCTCCACGTAAAAAAAAAAAAAAAAAAAAATATAGGGTCGATTCGACAAGTGTCAGTAAAATGAAGGGTCGATAGCAGCAGAAAAGCTGCTAAACAATTAGAATTAAATGTAACGATAGAAATTATTGCAATAATGCGTAATACAATTCAAAGAATCAAAAGAAACAACGCGAATTCATATCTTTCTCGATTCTAGAATATAAGAAAATTTGAATAAAATACGCGACGAGAATTGGGGAGAAGCATAAGTTAAACGCGTAAAAATATTCAATAATAAACGAACTAGGGATGAAGCTATTATTTCAATACGCGATGCACTGACTCTAGTATTTACTAAAATTCAAAAATTCTCGTATAAATTCCGAAAATAGATTATTAATTACGGTAAACTACTGAGACGGTTTAATTAAGGGTGGGCATGGTGCTGCTTTAGTTTGAAATGATTTATAAACACATAATTAACAGAGGAAAAACCGTGAAACGGCAAAACGTCTACATTCTAATTGTTATAACATGTAAACAGAACTTTAAATTTAGTGTAAACAGAAAAAATATATAATACAATTTATTTCACGGTATTGCAACAAATAAACGTTGAATCAATATTTAATTCGTATAAAAACAATTATTTAACGTAATAATTTTACCTTCACTATGGCTATTTTTAATCTACGACCACAGGTCAACCTGATTTCTAATCCTTACGAACTTTAAATTCAGTCTAAACTGAGAAAATATATAATACAATTTATTTCACGGTATTGCAACAAACAAACGTTGAATAGATTCTTAATTCGTATAGAAACATTTATTTAAAATAATAATTTCACCTTCACTATGGCTATTTTAAATTTACGACCAAGGGTCAACCTGATTTTTAATCCTCCGAACTTGATTTCACAACGAGAAAGTAATAAGATCGTTGAAACGTACTTATTTGTCAAAGAAACTTGCAAAAATGTATAAATAATAATATGTAATGTTTTAACAAATTTTTGGAAGTATAAATTAATAATAAAATTGTGAAAATTAATAAATTATACGTTATTATAACATTAATAGAATTATGACTAAACCGAAGTTCGAAGTCGAGTATTTAAAGTCTGATATTACGTGCCTAGCGAGTGCCGGTAATTGTTAAAATTTGTTTAATAATTAGTAATAGAAATTCTAATTGATTCTAATGTATACAAGTGTTACAAGAAGGCTGAGTGTGTACAGGGTGGACATAGACTAGCTAGTAGCCCCCGACCACTCTATTCACATCTCAGAACCTTCAGGTCAAAATACGCCGCGAAGTGTCTAGGGCCCAGTATAAAGGGTAAATGATTTCGCGGGACATCGGCGGGTCCTTATATACCTGCGGTACCCTCTCCCCAAAGTCATTAGCAAAATCGTCGGTTAGGTCAGGCGGGAAATTTTCGCGGGAGATTTTCGCGGGAGATTTCCGATATCGTAACACGGTATAATTTATCAATTTTCACAATTTTATTAAAAATTTATACTTCCGACAATTTGTTATAACATTGCATATAACAATTTATACGTTTTTACAATATTCTTCAATGGAAACATAGGTTTTAGCGTTCTCGTTACTTACTCGTGGTTAAATTAATTTCGTAGGGATTAAAAATCAGGTTGACCTGTGGTCGTAGATTAAAAATAACCATAGTACAGCTAAATTTATCGTGTTAAATAATTCTTCTTACACGAATGAAAAATGTATTCAACGTTTGCTTGTTACAATACCATGAAATAAAT